TGGCTGTCCAGAGCAACTGATTTGCCACAGTGTAGAAAAGGATGGTGTAGTAGATGGACCACTGGTCTAATCCAGCAGGGCTCTTCTTATGCTTTTATGACAGAAGTTGTTAGCCATGATAAGCAAGGATCAATCTGGGAGGTGGTAAGCCACAATATTCTAAGCACTCTATCTACATTCTTGAGCTACAAACCTTGGAACTCATCCAAGCAGTGGTAATGAAACAGAGCTGGGGGAACAATCAAAAACTGAACTACATGCAATATGGCATCCAAGTCCAAGTGTATGCAAGCAATTTTGTCTTCAAAGTACTTTGCATACAAGACACAATGGAGCAATAAGGATTCTTTCAGAATACTTTGGGCTGTGAATAAGCCCCTCACTGGCTGGATAAAATCCTCTGTGAATGCAACTATGATGAGGAAGCAAGATTTCTTCATTGCAAACACCAGTGTGGACTAGGCCCTTAAATGGCCTCTATCCCATGCTCATTTTGATTCATCTGACATCTGAATCCACTTGTGTTCTAGCTGTTGTCCCTATCTCTCCATTTACCTAATCTTCTTACTGTACAAGGGAGCAAAGCAGACCTGTTTCATGTAGGAGAGCATGTACACGAGTTGTTTATCAACTGTGTAAGCCATTGCCATATTAGGGTCTCATAACGACAGAGCCTAATTAGGGTCTTGGAACAACAGCCAGCCATATCAACTAGAAATGTTGCTTTCACATTTGCTTTGGCTCTTAAATTACAAAATGTGGAGATGCATAGCTTATATGGGTAGTAATTGTGTTTGAGTGAAGAAATCAGGCGGCATTAGGGCGTTGTGGGGTCATTTAAACAGATTATTGTTATATGAAATAATGAGGACTCAAAAACTTTGCTTTCCTTCTAAATGGATCTAATTCCTTCAGCTCCATTACTGCCCATTGTTCACCCTCCACCCTTATACCTACCATGAATTCTATCCTAATATAAACTTGAAAAACAAGATGAGTTCAATGGCTGTTTGATTAAGTTCCAATTGTAGGATTTCCAAATATTGGATTGGGTTAAAATATGTTGTTCTAAAGTAATATTCACATACATTGCCAGAGGTGACATTGGGTCATGCCTATTCCATAATTATTTTGGCAAAATGTCCCCCCATGCACGTGTGTTAAGTTCCGTCACTTCCGACTTATCGTTCACAGACTTCCTCAGGTCTTGCAAACTGAGGGCCATAGCTTCCTTGATTGAGTCAATCCATCTCATGTGGGTCTTCCTTTTTTTCCTGCTGTCTTCAACTTTTCCTAGCATTATTGTCTTTATTCTTCTTAAAATCAACTCTAAGATCTGCAGTGTAGATTTCTGTAAGGATGCCAGACAACACTGCAGGTATGGCAGATTGCAGACAAGCAATTAGTTCGTCTTTTCATATATTTGTCTATTCAAAGCGAAGAAAAGTTAGAAATAGGAAAGGGTGACTTTGCAGAAGCAGTACAATGTGAGAACACTTTAGGCATTCCCCCCCCCCCCCAAATCTCAGAATTAGTTAGCGTTGGTAGCAGTGTTCCCTCTAAGCTGAGTTAGTGTGAGCCGGCTCACAGTTTCTTACTCTCCAGCTCACAGATTTTTGTATTAGCTCAGGAAGGATGGTTCAAAGCAAACTAATTTTTGCAGTAGCCAAATTGCTCAATCATAATTTAAATTCCAGTAGCTCACCATAATAGAATTTTTGCTCTCAAGACACCACAGCTTACAGGGAGCATTGGTCGGTAGCCTTTGATTCTACCTTTCTGTGATTCATCAAAACTGTATCAAGCTGTTCCACAACCTAATGTCTCTGAGCAAAGAACAAAACGAAGACATTTTGCTGGAGCCAGGCTGGGGAAAAGATGCTTGGAGCAGCAGAGAATGGGGAGATTGGGGGAAGGGTCCTCTTCTCTCACCTGCACATGCCTCTAGGTGGTGATATTAGCCCCCCCACACACACACACTTTATATGTAAATGCAGCAGAACAAAAAACAAGGCTGTCCTTGTTCACATCTGGTTTGGCCCTTAGTACCTCTTGCATTGCATATATATTAAATGGTCACAGACTGTCCTTGACACTAGAACAGAAATGTAATGTTGGAACTGTCCCTCATTATGTATGCTTCTGTTGGACAATAGCTGCTCCTCTTCAGCTGTGGTCTTCCAAAGCAGAACACCTACAAGCTCAGTGCACCCCCACCCCCACCCCCGGCTATGATGCCTAGGTTAATCTGCCCTTAATCTGCTTTACATCAGCAGAGGCACTGGACCCTACCTTCACTTTGCTGTGCTCGGCTGCACAATGATGCTGTGATTCTCAGGCTCTGCTGAGATTCCAAGCCCATGACCAGCCAGTTGTGGGCACACACAAAGCATTATTTGAGCTCTCAGTTTGCTCACCAGGGTGAAACAACCCTTCCCCCACCCCAATGTCACACCTGCATCTCAGACCGCATTCCATCCACAAACAAGGGCTAGGCTTCTTTCCCCAGCAGAATTTCCCTGCTGCTTTCTGTTCAGGCCACAGTTCAGAAGGTTTGTGGTTTCTGCTAATTCCAGAGAAGTGAGTGATCTTTGTGTGTGCATGGAACACGCAGAGTCACTGAGTCAGAGGGGCTTCCTGGGGGGCAAGGAACTAAGCTGAACTGGGCTTCCTTGTGAAATGCTCCCTTTGGTAGCAAGCAGGGCACTGATGGTGTATCAGACATGAGGCTCACTTACTAACATCATGTCTGCTTTGAAAAAGAATGCCATGGTAGAGAGAATGCAATTCACAAGGCCTAGCATTACGTCTTACACAAACCCTACAGGGCTTGCAGTTTACCTTAGGGACCCATTTACTCCTTTCTCTAAGAAATGCTGTTGCCAGCCTTGGAGCCTGTCTTTGTTGTTTGACCAAAAGAACAAGCTACCCACACTACAAATATATTCTTAAATTACTAAATATTAACCAAACCAGCTGTGTGTATGATGCTATAACAGCAAATCTAAACTAGCGACAAATCAGGCTGTGTTTGATGGTAGAGTTGGAAGGGATAAGAAGGGATAAGAAGGTAACCCACTCCAACCCCTGCTGTAGGGTGCCAGGTCCCCCTGGCCACTGGTGGGGGGTGAAGGGGTCAGGTTGCCAGATCCAGGTTGGGAAACTCCTGGAGATTTGGGGGCAGTTCCTGGAGAGGACAGGGGTCTCAGTGGGGCATAATGCCCTAGAATCCATCCTGCAAAGCAGCCATTTCTTTCAACAGAACTGATTTCTGTAGTCTGGAGATGAGCTGGAATTCCAGAGGATCCCCAGGTCCCACCTGGAGGCTGGCATCCCTACCCTGCTGTGAGGGGTCTCCAGTGGTACCTGGAGATCTCCCAGAATTACAAGTAATATGTGGACGAGAGAGATCAGTTCCCCGGGAGAAAATGACTACTTTGGAGGGTTGGGTCTATGGCTTTTTATCCTGCTGAGGGCCCTCTCCACCCCAAATCTTGCCCTCTCCAGGCTCTACCCCCAAATCTCCATGGATTTCCTAACTCAGAGCTGGCAGCCCTAAGGGGGCTACATACAGATGAGTGTTCCCACATGTTCCTGTGTTGAAAGCAAGCAGGCCAGTGAAGAACCATTTCCCTGCTACAATCATTTTCTGCATGCATAGAATCATCGAGTTGGAAGGAAGTTTCTAATTCAGGAGAACATTCAAACATTCAGACACCCTTCCCACCCCTGCTGCATTCTGAAGTATACAGTCTAAAGAGGGCTGTACTCTGAGCAAGGTCTAGAGCCCTTTACCTATTAGCAGTCCTCTCCCAGTGGCCCTGGTATGATTTTGGAAAGCTGGCAATCTTTAACTGTTGTAAAGCTACGAGACATGCAATAAAACAGGAAAGATCAGCTGATTTCTTGCAAAAACCCACCAGTGTCTGACTCTTGTGAATTTGAGTTAGCCTTTGGCTCCTGGTATTGTTCCAGAACCTGAAGCTATTATGCCTATCCTATCCCAAGGACCATTGGAGGGGGGAAAGGGAATGGCCAGTCTGTTGTCTGCTTCTCCCTCAACATGTTAGGATTCTGAGGTCAAGCGAATGTATTTGGTTATTGGTTAGGTGCCTGAGGTCAAGCTAATGTATTTGGTTATTTTGTGGCATGGGATTAGAAGGTCATTACTGTTGCACTTTAGTGTATGATTAGAATCAACATTACATGAATGGGATGATATTCGACAGAGCAAAAACCAATGAAAATGTGTGTTTCCCTTCAGAAGGAGGGAGGTAGTTTGGCTCATGCTCCAGCAAACCTGTTTGCATGTACATCACAGCAACTATCCTGGATCAAAGAGGGAGCAAAATACCTTCTCCTCCTACTGATACCTTCAGAATGAACCCTTTGCCTATTGAAAACAAGAAAGTGACTGCTAAGTTCTACAGCCTTCTGAGGCGAGAGTGACCCAAATGAACTGCACCTTGTTTGTTTAAATCTCTGTGGCTGCTGCAGTTTTCTCAGCTGTTCCTCCTTCCTTTGGCCCATCTCCGGCAGGAGAACAGGGCATGGCTTGTTCTGCTTTCCTGCCCAGACCCCTGGGCTATGGCTCTCTAGCCCTTAGATACAGCAAGCCAGTGGCAGGGGAAGAGAGAGTGGGAAGGGAGATGACTGAAGGGGAAAGGCAGTTCCCTGACTATTTTTTGGCAACTAGTTTTTTGTCTGCAGGCACTGGCACTTGGGACAGTGGCATTTCTTCACTTCAAAGTCCAGGAAGGGGAATGCATTTTTTTATTTTAAAAAATATCATTCTAAAATAAGTATCAGACCTTTGTTGTGGGGCGTGTCCCTGAAATTTCCTGTGGTCTGACAGCTCTTTAATTATCAGTAGAAGGCATATAAGAGAACAGCCCTAGGACACAACAGTTTTCTGTCACCTAAAAAGTCAACTCCAAGGAAATTTTATTTTAATCCATCCCCTGATTGTTGATCTTGTTTTTCATTGTTCTTCTTTCTAGGTAAACAACAATGGAATCATCTCCTTTCTGAGAGAGGTGTCCCAATTTACACCAGTAGCTTTCCCCATCTCAAATGATCGACGTGTAGTTGCAGCTTTCTGGGCTGATGTAGATAATCGGCGTGCAGGAAAAGTATACTACCGGGAAACCAGGGACCAAGCCATCTTGGAGAAAGCCACTAAGGACATCTGGCAATATTTCCCAGAATTTCCAGAGTTCTCTGCCCAGTGGGTATTTATAGCCACTTGGTACCAGGTCACCTTCTTTGGAGGAAATTCACATTCTCCAGTAAGTGAATTGGAGTTTGATGCCTATATAGATATATAAATATCTATGATTGAGGTAGGGTGGGCTACAACATGTGAACCCTATATGAAAAAGTGTAGTATGCCAGCACCCCTCCTGAAAACCACTCTGACACTAAAACTCTAGACTTTCTTTCAACTACTGTGCTCTGAAAATAGTAAGAGCTGAATTCTGAATGGCATAAAGGAGCCATTCCTTTATTGATTCTAATCATACACCGACTGATTCAAGCCTTCACAACAGTTTTTCACTGATAACTAGTGCTGCAGTTCATTCTGACACCCTTTTTTTGTGTATGTGTCCTTTTTAAGGTAAATACTTTCCAGATAGTCCTCATCACTGACGGGATGCTGTCCTTCACTGTCTTCAACTATGAGTCAGTCACCTGGACCACTGGCATGCATGCCAGCAGCGGGGGAAATTCAGCAGGCCTGGGAGGCATTGCGGCCCAGGTAGACTCCATGATCACACCTTTCAAGCAAGTCTTCTTTCTAATACACGGTCACATTCTTCTAGACAGTAGTGCTATTTTATTTTTAATCATTTTTTCATATTAGGATCATTAAACAACAAGGTGATCCTCTCCCAACCCCTAGTATCGGTAATAATGACCTATATTCCTTTGCTTTTCAATGACAAAACCATATGGAGGGCTTTGTTATAGTAAAACCACAGCTCTTTACATTTGCCTTTGCCTTGTAGTTTCTTCCCCTTCTAGCCTCAGGTTTTTAAGAGCCATCTAGCAAGTAGTTGTAGCAAGTACAGCTTTCCCTTGGTATTCTCATTTCAACCTTGTGTGTGTGGTTTTTCCCCTTTCTTATAACTGATGGTTGTTTGAATGTGCGAACTTACCACTCATTGATCTAGGCTTGGCTGTCTGCCAGCTCTGGATCTGAGAGTCTCCAGTAAGCAGGAAATTGCAGGTGTAAAGGAAATAGACACAGTTTCAACCCCAGAAATTCAGAAGTGCAGACTTTTATGACTGTAAACAGAGCAGTAACCACAAGCTTTGGATACTGTACAGTGCTTCAGGAACACCCTGACCCAGACCCAGCCAGGGAGGGAGGGAGAGAAAGGAAGTTGAAAAGTTTTCACCAGGCAGTGGCTTGTGACCAAGATTGCAAGAACGTGCTGCTGTAATGCGCAGTGAGATGGAGTGGCTCGGCACGAGCACCTCGCAGCTCAGCATGGCAAAGGCTGCTGCTTGGCTTGTGCTAGCAGAGCGTTGCTCGGTTTTCGTGGAAAGGAGCGAGAGAGTCCAAGAGTCTCTTGGATTCACCCTGTGCAGATGAATGGGGATGAAAATAGGCTCAGCATTCTGTGTGCTTTCCAGCAAGTGAGTCATGGATGTGTGGGGATTGCTGAGGCTTTAGTATGCCAAGAGCCATTTGGGAAAAGGGTTGCAATAACTGGACCATCTGATCTCCCCTCTCTCCCCCTTTTTCTTTTAATGCTGACAGTTCAGCATGTGTCATAGTCAAGATCTTTAATCATAACTGACATGCAAAACAATATGGGATGCTATTTAGGATGCTGGCCTGTTCTGGGTTTTTTTATCCGTGAGACTGTAGAAGCTAAAATCAGGGCTCTGTTGCAACGGGTGCCATAGAGAGAGAATGCTTGCTTCAAACCAGCCTTGCAAATAGACCTACAAAAGATACTTTTCCAAAAGAACAGTGTCTAACCTGTCCGGCCTGCATCAGTGGAAAGAAATAAAGATCCAACTTGTGCAAAGCTTTTCTGCCTGGTTGTATGGAGACGATTCTCTTCAGTAGTGACCAGGCAAGGGACTATTTACAAGGTTGCCCTCAAAGAAACTGCCTTCTGAATGGAAAACATCTGGCGCCTAGATGGAATCTGTGTAGGCAGAACATCCAGAAGGGCAAAGAGGAAATATTGTAGTCTCAGTCCTACAAATATCTACCCGCTTTACAGATTGAACTTGCTGTAGTGTTAGGTGCTGTACTCTGTATTCGATCTAAGAGGATAAATTTCCAATGGGAAGTGATTGTAAAATTAGCTTTGAAACCTGATGCTTCCATTCCTTATGTTCTTGCAGTCCATTCCTCTGCAGGGCACTGGGGCATGGTGGAAGAGAGAAGCCCCTTGTCTTTTCCCACAGCTGGCCTGCTTTCCCCAGTGAGAGGTTTCACTCTCTGCCCTTGTCTTCCTAGGCAGGTTTCAATGCCGGTGATGGAAAACGGTATTTTAACATCCCCGGATCCCGCACTGATGACATTGTTGACGTGGAGATGACGACAAATGTGGGTATCCCCGGGCGCTGGGTGTTCAGAATCGATGATGCCCAGGTGCAAGTGGGGGGCTGCAACAACACAAGTAAGAGGACAGCAGTTAGGTTTATTTAACCAAACCAATTCTTCCAGCCCTTCTATTTGTTCTGTGAAAATCCCAGTGCCAGTTGAAGGCAGCAACTATGCAGTTTGGGTGTGGAAGGGGGGGGGGAAATGAATACTTCTCCCATCCCCAGGTATGAAAACGATGAAATAATATGGACAACAAGACATGGGATGCATTGACGCAGAGTCCATGTGCAAGTTGCAAATCATGGGAACTTTATTCTGTTATTGGATGACACCTGGAGTATATCATTGGCTGGGGACCAGTGATTTTTCCCCCCACCAATGACAGTTAAGGTTTCTTTAGTTATTCTCAAAGGTGAAACAAAATAGAACAATGGAGTGTTTTGAGATAAATGAGACAGAAGGCCAGGCTGAATAGGTACAAATGAGCCCTTAGAGCCTTCATATAATCAACGAAAACTTTAATTGATTGATTAGTGGCAGCCGAGTTTAATTAGAGTGAATTTGAATTGGTGACACTCAGTTAAGGGCATACTTAATTTTTTATTCTATTTTTGTTCAGGTGTGTTATGTAATTACCATAATAAGGGGTAGAAAAGAAAATGAAAAGATGGTCTGGGGTGAGGGGAACATATGAAAGGGTAGATTTATTAAACTGTAAGTTGTTGCACATTTTCTTAAATATTTCAAAAATAGCCCTCCATTGGGGCTTTTTATTATCTGCGAATTTAAATAAATGTAATGAATTAATCTAAAAGATGATGAATCAGTTAACCATTTATCAGTTAACAACTCCTATTTAAAATACATTTTTCCCAAAGTGGTTTAGCTTACTTACAGTGATATAAATTTTTTGAAATGGTACCCTCTGAAGGCTCATTTAAAACATCTGTGTGCCTTGGGTAACTCAGGCCAGGGTCGTGGAGGGGAGTCTGAACTTACCCAAAATTCCTCAGTTTGGCCTTCCCTTATATTTTGATGGTAGCAGTGATCCTGACCTCCTTCCTTTTCTCTTCTTGAGCTATCAACCCCCATCAGCCCTGCCACTGTCTGGTCAACAGCAGGGACAGGGAGGATGGCACACGGAGGCTTGGGACTTGCCTTTATTGAAAACTTGTATATAAGGGCTTGGATCTAGTGGCAACTTTCCGCTAATGGAAGGCACTTCCATCAGCAGAACAGAACTTTCCTCCCTCCCACCGCAGCTCACTGAATTCCCTGAAATGCTGCTTCTGAAGGATAGGGAATCCTGAGGAACAGCATGAGAGGCCAATTGGGGATCCACAATGGGAGGGGGTAACTGATAAAAGCCTGCCACTCCCATCCCACCCGTGTACTTTCCACTGGTGAAAAATTAATGCTGGATCTAGCTTAAGGATCCAGAGTCGCCAAGAAAAAGAAAAAAACTTCATATTAGTAGGCAGTAGACCTCTGAAACCCAGTGCTAGGAGGCAACATCAGGGGGAGGGCCTTGGCCTCTATGCCTGTTTACTGGCTCTCCAGGACAACTGTTTGGACACTGTATGAAACAGGATGGTGGTCTACATAGACCACTGCTCTGATTCAGCAGGGCACATGGTCTTCAGTTAAACTCAGATTTTTGCCTTGTTTTCTAAGAAACTAGACATATGTAGTTGGGGTATGGGTTTTAGAGTCGATTTTCCTTTTACTCAATCAACAGCTCCTTAGTCTCGGATCATCTCTTTTCTGGTTCTGTGACTATATGCCTGTCTGCATCTCTGCCCCCTCCCCATTTATTTGCAATATGTATATACTGCTTTCCTGGCAGCACTCAAAGTGTTTGAGGGTTTTTAAAAAGCTTTTTCTCTCCTGGAAATTTCACTGACTTGTTGGCTCTAAGGTGCTCAACAACATGAGACATTGCAAATCTCATGAACAGTTCCCAGTGGTTGTTGTTTAAATTTCTCACGCAGGGACCAGATTCAGTCTGGGAGGTTAAGTGTGAGCATCCATATATGTATATTTGCCGCAGTGGGGCAAATAGCAGCTTGCTGGGGCTGTTCCAGGTTGGGAAAACATGATGAGGGGGGCTTGACTCCATCGTATCGTCCTGGTCTCCCCATGTGTGATTTTTCAATCACTGCAAACTATGTGATGGAATTCCCAGCATATTGAGGAGTCTCAAGAACTGTTTTATCATTTTTCTTGAAGACTTTAAACCTCTGGAATTATTTTAATGTTGTCAAAAATTTAATAGTGTGGAATTTTGGTGGCCTTTATCCTGATGCTTAGCCTTCATTCTTGTGGTTTGTCTTAAAAAGTGTATAACATAATCAAAAGAGCACACCCACACAAAATGGGGTCAGCCGCAGGATGTAAAACTGGCTGGAACTGTTGTGTATATGAATGTCTTTCAAAAACTCAGGACTTCAAAGGAGAGGTCATTCTTATTAAAATTTCAGTTGATCAAAGAAAGTTGTTTATAGAAAAATATTAGATTTTGGATTAAAAAGTCATCATTTTGATCTTCATAATTTTAGGGCAAGTCATTGGCTGATCAAATAAAAATATTCCCTTGGATCTTTAGCCTTGTTTCAGCTTGCATAGTGCTCTGCTGTGAAGAGCATTCATCTAGCAGTGGGCAGTATCATTCAGTGAGACAAAAAGTGCCTGGGGATAGATGAACATGGTCCATTGCAGAGGACCATCTTTGCAATGGATGAAGAAGGGCACAGGCAGAAACGAGGTTTAGAATCCAAGCAATTGTTATAAGCAGCTAAAAGCCAAGGAAGAGAGATAACAGTTTCTATATGTAATTTTTTATATATATATATATATATATATATATATATATATATATATATTAAATATAAATCCATTTTATATAT